CACACCGGTAGCTTAAAATATTAAACTTCTGTAGACATCAAAGCCAAGGGTTTTAATGAGCGATGCAGAAGACAGCTAGGAGGGAATTTTTCAGAAACAGGTTTTTTGCAACAGGTTTTCTGAAACAATGGGCAATTGGAAACAAGAGCATAAAAATGCTTATCTGGAAATCTAAAATGGTGTAGAGGTTGACTTGGTGGGATGATCAGACTGGGAGATAAATTCGATAACTTCTTGATTTGAGTAAGAGGGATGGGGTAACAGCAGGCTTTGGCAGTGATGTGCAAGTGAAGAGAGCAGCTTTACATCTAACGCAACAGAGCTGGCAGAGCCAGGGCAGTCACACAAAGCGGGAAGCAACACGTCAAAGTGAGAGACTAATAGACAACCTACTCTGCAACTTTCTGAATGGCTATGAAATGTGAGTTGTCTAACTGTCAAGGACAGAAAAAGGGATGCCGCCATAATTCAGATCAGTATGATGAGGCTGGATTAGACTGTAAATTGCATCACCAGGTAGGAAAAACAGCGAGAGATGCTGTAGAAGAACAAAGACTGCAACAGAGCCAACACAGGAGGTTTCAAGAGGGACATCCAAGTCAAAGTTGCTGACTAAGCACAATCTTACCAACAAACAGGACACCAGAAGCAGAAAGGAAACTGCGAGGGGTACAGAGCTGGGGATGCTCAGCTGCGTTGAGGCTGAAGCAACGGCTCTTTATCCACGAGGTGTCGAGAGATGCAGGCTAAGCTTTTTGGCAAGAGGCTACTTCTATTCTCACCCTTGTGCAAAAGGCACATCTGAAACCAAAGCCTTTTTCTTAACGTGATTGGTAGTGCAAGTAAAGCCCAACCATTCTTACCCATGCAACCATTAAGGAGAACACAGGTGGGATTTTTGGAAGAAGTTAACTATCCATCTGTGAAACAATGGTTAGATGGAACAGAAACACACAGACTGGCACCCACTTTGAAAACCCACCAATGTGCTCTGGCTCGTGCTTTCCATGTTGTCACCTGAAACACTTAAAAATCCTCCAAGGTCCAGCAGGAGGAAAAAGTAAGAGGGCGTTTAGCTTTAGAATGCAGTAAACCAGCTTTTGTTCAGAAGACATGTCTATAGGATTCCCACGCAAGTAATAACGATCTCAACAAGTGGCATCGGCGCGGCATGCCAGAATACTTCTAAGCAGAGGGCAAAACCTAAGAGAACCACTCCATCGATTGTGTTTTCCATAAGGCTTCATTCTATTTTGATAGACACATACCCATGAATATCCTCCTGGGCATTTTAAAAGCTGTAGTTTCAACTCTGAGGTTTTGCAAGCTTTGTTTTGTGTGGTGTATGATATCATAAACATCCTGAATATAATTACAACTGCAATTTTGTGGGCTATATTTTCCCTCTTGGTAGCCCAAAGGCAATGTTTACAAAAAACTTCTCAGCACGCTTATTTGATTTGAACTTTTTATTATTATTACAAATGTATATTATTTTATTAAAAAAATTCACACTGAAGCAAAGTCAATTCCATTTCATTACAACCAAGAATATAAAATAAATGCAATGAACTCATAGTTTAGTTTTAACAGTCATTTCAAGAGTGACATCAGGACAACTTAAAAGCAGTAAACTCTCAACTCTAGAATGAGAAACGAGTATTTTGCTTTGTGGTTTTGCTAGCCCATTGGCACGGGCGCTGCCGAATGTGGCCACCACAGACCTAGAGCGGCAAAGTTTTGTGGCAGCATGAGGTGCATACACAATAATTTCTAATGAAAACTACAAAAATGAAAGATGCGTGCATGAAATTATTAGAAAAAAAAAAAAAAACTGAATAGAGACAGGCACACTTCCACAAATAGTAAACATGGGAAAATACAACTAGAACAATTTGAAAAGTTACTACCTTACATATATAAAAAGTTCTTTAAATTGCTGTTAAAAAGGACATGTTCTGTCCAGATTTTGTGTAATACTTTTTAGTGTCTACACAAGACAAATTTTTAAAAAAATTAAATAGTATTAATTTACTACTAAATATTTAGGAGATAACAGTGCATTAAGGACTTTTTTTTCATATAGTAATACACATCGCTCCTGTCTGGCGACATTTTTAGAAGATTACGTATGGCCTTATGTACAATACATTTATTTAATCCTAAAACAATTCTTTGCTTAATGGTGTTAAAAGTACCATTCCTGAAGATTATGAAGGGGAACTAAGCTTATTATGTTTATATAAAATATTATACATATTTGAACACTTCTAGCTTCCCGCCACCCCTCCCGCTAC